TTATTTTGGCATAATCCTTGAATACCTCAAATGTTAGTTTATACTTCATCCTAGATATGTTTGAATCTCTACAGAAGCCAGCATTTGGTAGCTTCGAGGCAGTCTCATGTGATAGAAGCAACAGCATACAAAACCTGCCTGTCCTCATCCGATGCTTTTGAAAGGGCGGGCATGGTCAGCCTTTTACTCTGTAGAGGAGTTGTATATATATATGGCGCGTGTGCACGCTCACTCTGTTACGTGTGTGTGTGTAATAATTTACATAGATAAATTTATATATTCGGCTTTGATCCACAATGTGTGTTTAAAGATTAATAAAAATTGATGATGGGGTCAGAAGCTGTTTTTTAGTCTTGTAGGCCAGGAAAATTAAACTGTTTTGAAAGGGTAAATAGGAACACCTCAGCCACTCACATGGTCTTGGTACTTTCCATACCAATAATGAGCCCCGGGGAAAAAGATGCATGGATACTCCTATTCTGTACCTTTATCAAGTTTAAATTATTTTAACTTCTCTTTAGTTTGTTTCCTGTCATATTAAGATTAACAAACAAACAAACAAAATCCTCAAAAATCCTACCAGCCCCAGTGTTTAGGAAGAGTCTGTTTTGAGCCATGTGTTTGTGAACCTCATGTTCTTGGATGACCTCTGTTTTGAAGGAGTAATTGCTTGTTCATTTCATATGAACTAATGTCACAAGAATGTGGGGTCTAGGTAGTTTGTCTTGTTAATGTCCAGACTAGTAATTCCATGAGGGTGTCACAGAGTCTACCTGGTCAGTAACTATGCACCTGCTGTAAATATAATGTCCTTCTGGCACCAGTGTACTCATGTGAAAGGAAACTCAGTAAACACAATTTAGTAATAAGGAAAGCTTACTCATTACATAAGTTTTCTTAAACTCTCTTTATTCTAATTAAAATGTTTCCATCTAATAGGGAAGTGGGTGAATACTAAGAACTGGAAATTAAGCAAGAAATTAAAAGAACATTGATGGCTTTATTGCAGTTTGTTTTGAGATTTTTCTCTCCACTAAATGGTGGTTTACTTATAAAGTCACTCCTTCACACATAAATCTTTGTGACGAATGGACTGGAATTTATTCCAACAAAAGAAGAGCTAGTTTATGATGCCACTTGTAAATGATAACACATGTTATGTACGAGAACCAAAGCATTAGCTTTTTAAAAGCATTGTTAGCATGATTACTTAATTTGGTCCACACACAATTCTAGTTTCTTTGAAAGTGAAGGTCAGTGTGTCTAGGAGACTAGGGAAGTGAGTGCTTTGACATTTGTTCATTGTTTTTTATTTAGATCTGGGTCACTAGCATGCTCTTGGTATAATTCTTGCCTCAAAAAAATCCAAAGCATAACATTTAAACTTGTACTTTATTCCTTCAGAAATTTACTGCTGACACTGAAACTTCTCCCTAACCAAAGCGGATACTTGTTCTGTAGTGGGCAAGCCCTTGCCCTCCCTTGTCCTAGAACCCTTGTGCAAGCCAGCTCTCTGGATGCTTCTCTGTGTTGTCATCTGGATTTGCCTTTATTAATAAAGCATTCATTAACTCAGAAAGCCCATGTCTGCATGCAGATGTAGGTGGAGGTGTTCATGAACAGATACAACCTGCCCCCCCTGCTCCCCCAGCCCCCCTGCTCCCACCCCTTCCCGGTTTTATGCCTGGCAGACAGGCTCCTTCTGGAGGCCAGCCTGGATGTCACTTCTTCATGAGTCCTTTCCGCGCAGCCCGCCCTGATGGCTCACTTTTTTTTTTTTTTTTAAGATTTTATTTATTTATTTGACAGAGAGACAGTGAGAGAGGGAACACAAGCAGGGGGAGTGGGAGAGGGAGAAGCAGGCTTCCCGATGAGCAGGGAGCCCGATGCGGGGCTCAATCCGAGGACCCTGGGATCATGACCTGAGCCGAAGGCAGACGCTTTAACAACAGCCACCCAGGCACCCCTGATGGCTTACTTTTAATGGGCACTGCTTTCCATGTCCGTCTGAGGACCCTTGCCATAGCATATTGTAATTTGTCTCTTTATTTTAGTCCCCTAAACCATGAGCTCCTTGGGGCAGGTGCTAGACCTCACTGATTTCGCTTTCCCTAGAGCCCAGCCCAGCATGTGTGCATGGCTGTGAGTGATGAATGTGGGTGGATGAAAGAGGAAGAGGTGGTGGGGTAATACACTTTCAAGCCAAAAAGTTAAACTTAATTGTTTTGGGGGAAGAGAATAAATACTATTTTTGTTTATATAGGTCTTAAAATTTGGGTGGCAGAAAGCAAATATACAGAGAACAAGTTAGAATTGGCTGTCTGATTCCACAGAGACAGTCACATTTTGTATTAAAAAATGTAATTTACCATTGATCGCCTTGAAATCTTCAGTTTGTTGTTCTGGTGTCTTAATTAACTAATTACTTAATTGAGTAACAACTAGGGGAATAGATCATAAATGTGAGGATGTTCCTTGTAAGAAGCCCACCGCTCTTTTCTTTCCGTGATGTGTCCTTTTTAGCACCATCCTCGAAGCTTGTGAAACTGAGCTGCCTCTCTGCATTGGACACATGCTTGAATATGATGGTTCTTTCATAAGTATCTGGTTCCATAGGAATTCACTAGTTATTAACGCTTCTATTGAGTCAATTTGAGGTTTCGTTGGAAATCATTCCCATAGTAGAAAAACAAAGTAGCATCATACATCCTCCCCCTGCAACCAGCTCCCAAATTCCCCTCAAAGATTCATTAGCACGGTGTTCATTGTTTTACCCGAAATCACTCACTTTTAAAATGGCTCTTCCCCTCCAGTAGCACCTAAGCAACGGGAGGTAAGTGAGATCAGAAAGAACAGACCTTCTGTGGCTTCCTTCCGCATCAGTGTGCGTGTGGTGGTTTAAGGGCCACTGTGGAAGTCACCTGTAGCTTGTTAGGATCTTACGTAATTAAGGAAATGTTAGTCCTACTCCTCATTCAGTATTCCTTTGAAATACTGCATTCCTCTGACCTGTGAAGCTGCTTGGAAGTAACGAGTGTTGGTGCTGAGGATTCAGTTTGAGCAGTCCACCTTCTCAGGCCCGTGCTTCATCTAATGGTGTCTAGCAGGGGAGCCTCTCGAAGCATTGTGTTCTGTTGCATCAATATGTACTTAGACACGCTAATCTGAATTAGAGAGCTGATTGTACATAATGACTCCTTAGGGATGCCGTGGTAGAAAAAAGAAAACAAAAACTTACGTAGTTTACTGAATATGCATAGTCAGTAAAAAATTCTTCTAAAATTAGTGTTAATTGAATCTGAACCTTGATCACCTTTGAACCTTTAATTTTTAATTCGATCCCTTAAAAAACTCTTGTGGCCTCTTAAAGATACATCCTACAACCAATAAAAGTTACGCTGTAATGATTATAAAAAGGCCAAGTTACCATAGGGAAGTGTCAGTTGTGTGGATATATATGTGAATGAATAGTGTGTGTGTCACATTTATACGTGTTCATACACATACACAGACATATGTGTGTGTTTAATACACACTGTGGTTTGTCTTTATTCAGATACCTCCTTCTTTCTCTGTCTCTGGGAAATGGGGCACATTTTCTTCAGTTAAAAACAGAAATAGAAGCGATGGTCTTGACCCATTTTACACTTATTTATTTCAGGCTCTCACCACACAGTTGTTCATGGGCGCAGCAAGAAGAGGGACCCACAGAGCTGGAGCCGTGAGGGCTGGCACCCTGGACTTGCAGCTAGCAGAACTCATAGGGGGGCCTTGCCATCCTGCCGCCCCATGTCTGGCTCCAAGATAATTCCATTAGTGAAGTGGTTGCACTTAAAACCCAAAGTTAATTTGAACTGAATGTTACTGAAAATGAAGTACATGCAAGTGCCTCACTCTTGCTTTACCCACAGTTGTTATGCGAGAGACCCACAGTCTGACGTGGCTGTGGGAGAGCAGGTCTTTACCCACATGCCACCTGGTCACAGAGGCCTCGGCGATCATCCTCATGCCCAGATGCCACTCTTGGTCCCCTTCGCAAGCTTCTCTTTTCCTAAAAGCACTCATCTCCAGAGTGGTGATGTAATTATGTGTTGGTTATTGTCTGTGTCCTGCAGGAATGGAAGCCCCACGAGGGCAGAGCCTCCGTCCTGTCCTGTTCCTGTCTTCAGTGTGTGGGGTAGGGCCTGGCTCAGTGTAGAGTCTGAACGAATGCTGTTGAATGCATTGTAAATGGGTCCACTGGTGTGGCATCCTTTCTGAATGTGCTTTTAATTTGCCTTTTATAGATAACTTTTAAAAAATGATAAAACAGTGAAACTTGGGGGTAAATATAAAAATTTTGTTGGGATTGAAATAAGTGACAGTGTTTTTGAGATGCCAGAGCCAATCAGGGCTTTAGGATATTGAATTACAAATTTACTCTCTGTTCCGGTATCCATGCCTTCTGATGAAGCAGAGGAAATAGATGTAGGAGAGACAGGAGTCCTGTCTCTGGAATACAGGGGCACCTAGGAGATCTTGCAGTTTGGGTTCCAGACCACTGCAAGAAAGCGAGTGTCACAATGAAGTGAGTCCAATGCATGGTTTTGTTTCTGGTGCGTATGAAAGCTGAGTTTACACTACATTGTGATCTATTAAATGTGTTAACAGCATTATGTCTAAAAAAATACTGCTGGAACATGCTAACCATCTGCGCTTCCAGCGTGTCGTGACCTTTTTGCTGGCGGAGGGTCTTGCCTCGATGCAATGGCTGCAGACTGCTCAGGGTGCTGGGTGCTGAAGGCTGGGGTGACCGTGGCGATTTCTTACAACAACAGTGAAGTCTGCTGCATAGATCAACTCTTCCTTCCACAAATTCCTCTAGCATGTGATGCTGTTTGATAGCATTTTCCCCATAGCAGAACTTTTTTCAAAATTGGGCTCCGTCCCCTTGAACGCTGCCACTGCTTTATCAACTAGGTTTATGGAATATTCTAAATTCTTTGTTGTCATTTCAACAGTCTTCACCAGGAACAGATTCCATCTCAAGATGCTCGTCCATAAGAAACAACTCCTCATCTCGTCAAGTTTTATCCTGAAATTGCAGCGATTCGGTCCCATCTTCAGGTGCCACTTCTAACTCTAGTTCTCTTGCTGTTTCCACCACACCTGCAGTTCCTTCCTGCACTGAAGTCTTGAACACCTCAAAGTCATCCATGAGGGTGGGAGTCTATTTCTTCCAAACTCCTGTTGTGTTGATATTTTGACCTCTTCCCGTGAGTCATGAAAGTTCTTAATGGCGTCTAGATGGTGACTCCTTTCCAGAGGTTTTCAGTTTACTTTGCCCAGGTCCATCAGAGGAATTCGTATCTAGGGCAGCTGTCGCCTTATGCAATGTATTTCTTAAATAGTAAGACTTGAAAGTTGAAATTCCTCCTTGATCCATGGGCTGCAGGCTGGATATTGTGTTAGCACGCATGGAAACAACATTAATCTCGTTGTACATCTCCATCAGAGCTCTTGGGTGGCCACATGCATTGTCAATGAACAGTACTATTTTGGAAGGGATCTTTTTTCCTGAGCAGTAGATCTCAACAGTGGGTTAAAAATATTCAGCAAACCATGTTGTAAACAGATGTGCTGTCATCCAGGCTTTGTTGTTCCGTTTATAGAGCACAGGCAGAGTAAATTTAGCATAGTTCTTTAGCATGGTTCTGGAATTTGCACAATGGTAAATGAGTATTGGCGTCAGCGTCCAGTCACCAGCTGCATTATCCCCAAAAAGAGAGGCAGCCTGTCCTTTGAAGCTTTGAAGCCAGGCACTGACTTCTCCTCTCCAGCTATGGAAATGCTTAGATCAGCCTTCCAGCAGAAGGTGTTTTGTTTACATTGAAAATCTGCTGTTTCGTGTCGCTGCCTTCACGAATCCTCTGAGCTTGATCTTCTGGAGAACTTGATGCAGCTCCTGTATCAGCTCTTGCTGCTTCACCTTGTGCTCTCATGTTATGGACACGGCTTTCCTTACACCTCACGAGCCCACCTCTGCTGGCTTCAGACCTTTCTAATGCAGCTCCGTCCCCTCTCTCAGCCTTCAAGAATTGGAGCGTGAGGGCCTTGCTCTGGATTACGCTTGGGCTTAAGGGAATGTTGGGGCTGGTTTGATCTATCTGGACCATTAAAACTTCCCCCATATCAGCTCTAAGGCTGTCTTGCTTCCTTACTCATATGTTCACTGGAGTAGCACTTCTAATTTGCTTCGAGAACTCTTCCTTTGCACGCACAACTCGGCTTTTTGGCAGGAGAGGCCTCGCTTTCGGCCTGTCTCGGTTTTCAACATGCTTTCCTCACTGAACTGAATCATTTCTAGCTTTTGATTTAAAGTGAGAGACATGGGCTCTTCCTTTCACATGAACACTTAGATACATCGTAGGGTTATTAACTGGCCTAATTTCAATATTGTTGTGTCACAGGGACAGAGAGGCCCGAGGAGAAGGAGAGAGACATGGGAACGCCTGGTCTGTGGAATAGTAGGACACACCCAGTGTTTATCAGTAAAGTTTGCCATCTTACATGGATGTGGTTTGTGGCGTCCCAAAATAGTGACAGGAGCAACATCAAAGATCACTGATCACAGGTCACCATAAAAATATAATAATAATAATGAGAAAGTTTAAAATACTGCGAGAATTACCAAAATGTGACCCAGAGACACAAAGTGAGCAAATGCTATTGGAAAAATAGCACCGATAGGCATGCTTTGGCACAGGGTTGCCACAAACCCTCAACTTGTAAAAACTCAATACCTGTGAAGCCCAGGAAAGCAAAGCAATAAAACAAGCTGTTCTTTATTTTAATACCAAGACCTCTAGTGAGAGTTTAGAAAGAAGCATTGAAAAATAAAAATAGGTAGAAAGTAGACATTTTTAACTTTTCCTAATATTTAATAATTTAAAATAATAGATTTTGGCATCAAGTAAACAAGATAAACCAAAATATTTCTTAGATCAAAGGGGCATTAACAAAGACACGGAGGCAGTTATTCTGATGGTACTAACAGAAATACTTGTGTTCTAGAACACCTACATGTTGCAGGTGTAGGTGTTCTAGACCTCTTTATTCCTTGAGTGCTGATGTAGGCCACAGTACCCACATGTTCTTGAGAACCTTCAAGGAGGATTGGTTGGTTTGTTTGTTTTTAATACAAAGGTCAAAACCCAGGGAAGCCGTATCCTGTGACGTAGGCTGTTATCTCAAGGTGAGTTTATTTGGGGCAGTAAGTTGTGCTAAACTGGTTAAAGAACTTCAGCTTCTCAGGTATAGCGTACTGCGTTTGTCAGATTGTGTTCATTTCGTTGTGAACCTCAGTTGTTCATTGCACACTGAAAGAATCACCTAAAACCAGGAAAACCAAAGGCCCAATTGAGCTTGAATTTTATGTCACGTAGAGGTACCCAGCATTTCTGATCAAATCAGTAAATATGTTTCACTTCCTTTTAAATAAAGTGTGAAAAGCAAAGAGCAGATTTTTATGTACCACAAAGTAAAACAAAAAAACCTTTCAGGGCATAATGCATTTTTCATTAAACTTACTGCTGAACTATTTTGATTATGTAATCTTATCCTCCCATGAAAGTATAAGAAGTGTGAATTTTCTGGGGTGAAGAAATAATTGCAGAAGGTGGTTAATGAGGCAGAACTCACAAATCTGCATTTATAGTTTTGTGGGCAAATAAATCATCAGTGGAGGATACAAATGTAAAGAAAAATTCTTGATTGTGTTCAAGAAATGCAAGGTTGAACTTTTTACTAAAATAGAATTTTACAGCCTCTCCGAGGGATGTTGTGAGTATTAAATAAGTGTAATGTGCTCAGAATAGCAACCCAGGGCGTAGTGAGCACTAGGAAATGTGTGCTCTTTATCTCTTACAAGGATTTTAGTACAAAAGACTAAATCATGTTTTAATCATGCGTAATAAACCGAACTGTAATTTAATGTGGTGAATGTCCACTTTAACTCAATCAAGAATGGCTTTCAAAGCAAGGAAGATCCTGAAACGTTTTTCTTTGGGCTCTTACGCGTATGTGCCATGTATGAGATCCCGGGACAGGTTACCCAGGTGACAGCCTTAGAGCCAAGAGATGCAGGAGCAAATGTGTAACTCTTAGCTGTATTTTGAAATACATTATTTTCATAAATCTGAAGATTTGATTGACTGACTTTTTTTTTTTAGCATGCCCTGTTGCTGTGTGTGTGTGTACTGCTAAGTTTTATGGAATTAAATCGAGATTTATGACCGGCAGATGCCTAAAGCCGCTGTCAAAATTGCATACCTAGCACTTCATTGATTTGAAGTTTTCATTCAACATTCCTGCAGTTTAAAATGGGACAGAAGTTTTTCAGGAATGGTTGCATGAGTTAGTGCCCTCTGGTGGCACACAGAGGACGTCAGGCAGAGAGGGACTGACCTGTGAGCCTGCAGCAAGCTCTTCTGAGGAGGAGCCATCTTGTGATTGGTTCTTTTCTGAGAGCTTTTCTTTTGGTGGGTTTTGAAAAGGCCTGTGGTGGTTGATTTATGCCCATCTGTAATTTATTTTTCGTGTGCTGGGTGCTCGTCAGTGCCCTAGTCCTTTAAGCCATGGCCCTGGAGTTGACTAGTAACAGCCTTATAGGGAGCCTTTAGCAGCGTAGTCTAGGATGAATTTCTGGGTGAGAGGATTTTCAGGTGAACTTATTGGAGGAAGGTATACCAACCTTAAGATTTTCCAGGGGGGATCAGGACATCCATTTTTAGATGCATCTCTTAATTTGCCTTTTGAAGAGGGGAACGTCTCACTTCTTGGATTGATGGCCTTTGGGTGACTCAGTGGTGCCTCTTGAGACAAACCTACCCAGTGGACTGGAAATAGGTGGGCATTTGTTGTTCATTTAGATCTTCCCTGGAGGGCAGGCCCCCCGCCTTTCCTGCCTGGGTCCTTCAGCCAGACTCGCTTATTCTGTGGGCTTTGGGGTCAGGCGGACCAGGAACAGCATCCCACCCCCAGCTCTGAAAAGCTGTGGGACCCTGGGACAGTTGCTCTATCTTCTGTGAGTTTCCTTGGCTGTGCGATGTAGCTGCTGCTGCCTCAAAACCCACGTCAGGAGCTGGTTGGGCTATCGAATTCTAAATTATTTATTTGACAGGGAGGGGGAGCATAAGTAGGGGGAGCGGCAGACAGAGGGAGGGGGGGAAGCAAGCTCCCCGCCGAGGAAGGAACTGGACGTGGGGCTCGATCCCGGGACTTCGGGATCATGACCTGAGCCGAGGGCAGACGCTTAACGACCGAGCCACCCAGGCGCCCCTAAAAAATGAACTTTTAATCTTGAGTAATTTTATACTTACGGCCAAGTTGCAAAGGTGGTACAGAGTTTACATATTCCCCTTATCTGGTTTCTCCTGCAAGCCTCACTTTGATACTGTTGAGGTTTCCTGATAACTTTTCATATATAATCCCTGTGAACTTTGATCATATTTGGCTTAAAGTGCCAATTTAGCACTTGGCTAAAGCTGAAGTGTTTGCCTGAATAACTTGAATTCTGCTGAAGATGTGGCATTTGCTTCCAGATCGTCCTTCTGTTTTTACCGTGGTCCATGTCTATGACCACTTGACAGTAGAGTAGTCTTTGATTTTCCAGGATCTTAGCACCTAAATAGTTTCCCCCTTGATGCAGTTAATGAGCTGTGCACGTACAGGGGAGATGAGGCAGGCAGTTGGCATCAGCATGTCACCCGGGCATGTTGGCACCCTCGGCCATGTCTCACACCGCCACAGTTTAAGTCAAGGTAGAAACATGTGCCTATTCACAACAACCCCAAATCCCCAAAACATCTCTTATATTTGGAAATACAAAAACAACTGATGCAGCTTCCTAATCAAAAGCCCACCAGCTAGTTTTAATATATAGATAGTCTGTAATTAGTATATAAAAAACAGTAGCAGCTCACATTGTATGTACCATTATAGTCTAAGAAAATGATATCACAGACAATATCTCATTTGGTTTCTTAACCCTGAGAGATCGGTGCGGAGAGCTTTGTCACTTCTTTTCGTGTACCTGGATGAAGAAAGGGAGGCCAGGAGGTGACTGA